TCTCTTATGCATTTGCAAAACAATGGCGTTGAAATTAAAAACGAAATTCCACTTTATGACCTTAACAAATTTGCAATCAACATAATTCCCCATGTTATGACTCCTTAGGCTTTATGTTGCGTATCGAAAAAGATTTCTTTACCACCGAAAAAGAAACATCGTCTATAACTTTGCTTCTAATTTTTTCTGTTCTGCTCTGTTGCCATAGCAATTTGTGGGAGGTGAAAACTATCTTGCGTTAATGGCTGAATTTAGCGTAATTAATACGGTGAGGCCGTAAATGAAGTAGAAGTAGAAGTAGAAGCAGAAACACGAGAGGTGATCATATTTCCCATTCGGCCTCACATTGTATGGTAATTGGCTTCGAATCGGTTGCGTTCTTCTTGGTAGGTTTTTAATTTCATATGAGCTGGATTCCCGATAATTCCGCTGGTATATATACGTTTTTTATATCTTTTTGGCTTATATATAATTATGTGCTTTCTGGATTCCCGAGAATTGTGAAAATTGCTTCGTTTTGTGGGCTTAAAATGTTATTTTATTTTTATGCAAAAAAAGATGATGAGTAGTGGAATAATTAATGGTAGAAAATTACTTCACTTTAAGAAGAATAAACTAATTATGACTTTTTAGAAAATAATTGTAAATTACCTGAAAACACATGTATTGTAGAAGATGTGAGGGAATTTACAATAAGTCTTACAACAAGCGTAATGGAACAAATTATTAAAACTTTTAAAAAATTCAGGACATCTTACGGTTTGTTCGGTTATTATGTAAGCATAAACACTTCCCAATGAAAGTGAAAATGACGAGCACACTTTTCTTCTACCTTTCGCGATGACTGTCTGCCACATGTCTGTCTTGGCGAGAACTGAAAGATTGTCATCCTATTGTCATTTTCAAAACCAACAAACTGTAACTAAACCTGACAGAGGGCAAGTGAGATGGAGAATTTACGAACTGTCACATGCGAGAACTCCGAAGACATGTGACTGGAGTTTCTGGGGGGAGGGGGTGGACGAATGGAGGTGCTTTGTTCAGTCAAATGGATCTACAAGTCAAATGTGCATTAAATGTGTCATTCTGTGAAGCAACCAACGACTGGTGGAGATCGGGGTATCCAAAGAGGTTGAAAGAGAAACAGTTCTATGGTCGGTTGATCGGTCGGTTGCCTGGGCTGAGGTTATATGGAGCTATATTGCGATGATGATGATGATGAATCAACAGCCGGCAAGAGGCAACAATGGCAACTCTTCAAGCTTGGACAAACATTTCACGCATCAGGCATTTTATTATGTAGAAATAAAAACACACAGAAAACAACAGAGGTATAAAGGCAAATACGAATACGAGTACGAATACTAAAACTTCATGAATGGCAAATCATAGAATAGGAACAGCCATATAGCTCGGTGATTTTCGCAAATCTAAATTTAGTGAAACAATGGATGAGTGAGGTAGACTGAAAATGGATTTTCACCGCAGAGCTCCCAGAGGTAAATAAACTTGATTTCTCTCCACTTCGACTTGGGTTTCATTAAGGGTTCCAGACCCCAGCCTAATGACATCATACGAGTGTAAAACAAAAAAACAAATCAAATTTAAACAGATATATATATGAATATATGTTTTTTTCAGAGGAGGAGCGCAGAACAATGAATGAAGGAGAAGAATAAAAACAACCAAAAAAGGCAGAGGCAATTTTGCGTGCAAATATCTAAGATACACTAGCCTAGATACGCTCTCAACCAAAACATCGAAAGACCCTGGTCATGATGAGGTCTATAGTCCGTCGAACAATCGGCCAGCTCACATATGTATCTGTGGGCCATTGTATCTCCGATGTGTGCAAAATTTTCAACCCGCTGACTAAGCGTTAGATACTGCAAATTGATCGAATGCGAATGAAAATGAAAATACTTTGGCGGAGGGGATTTTTTAGAAAAAACACTTTCCATATGAATGGATGAAAATTAAGAGGGTGCTCAAATACCGAATGCCACCCGACTTATGCATAAATTCCAGCTGTGTTAAAGTGCAACACCGTAAATCATTCAACTACTAAACCGACTTAACTCCCCCCCTCCCGAACCTTCAAGTGATGATGAAACTTTGAAACATTTTCAGCTTTTTTGCGCTTCGCTGATTTTGCTTGTAGGTGTTGCACCAGTGGGAGGGTCAAATTAAAAGAAGAATACACAGTATAAATGAGAAAAGACTCAGTTCGTTGGCCATAGCAAAAGTGAAGCGTGTTCATGACACTGTTTTCATTATTTGGAGATTTGGAAACTCGTTTGCCAAAGGCATGAACTCGATTCTTAATGTGTATAATTAATCATAATTTGTTTTTAGTTTTAATGAGTGACTTTTAAGGCCTAGATGTGAAGGTTTTGTTTGTTTTTTTTCCTAGCCAGGCACACCTGGATGTCATAAACGCAGGGCACTCATCTGCATAATTACCTTTTGGAAAGGGAGTGCAGGAGTTAAGTGCCAGGAGTCGGGCTAAGAGTGTCAACAAGTCACGCACTTAGGAGACCCCCAGACCCTAGAGTCTTCTTCCCGGAATCTCTATAGTAATCCTCTCCAGCTGGGGTCAATCAATTTTTCACACAGTTTTCAGAGAGAACGAGGGCCACACTCGTATGCAAATGATCGGGGAGGGAAAAACATCAATAATATGCAAATGCAGCAAATTAATGACTGACAAAAAGACAATCGAAACGAATTAAGAAAACCAGCCTACAAACCACTGGCCACTACAAAACACACACACAAACGATCCGATCCGATCCGACTCGATCCGAGTCGCATAATTTTTGTATATGCGGGCCGGGCAGGGACAATGACTACCCAACTTCGGTGGAGGGGGCCCCCAGACGACGGTGGCTTATCCGCAAGATTGAAATAATAACAATGCTGACAACAGGGGCTACTTCCACAACAACACAAATGATTGAATCAAATTGATGCCAAGAACCTAGCCACTGAAACGATCTTCATGGACTTACATGTGTTCGACCACTCTATAACATTCATGGGGATTTGGTTTAAGTTAAGGTTTAACGTTATGCCTGGAGGTTTTTACATTCGAAAATGAGGGAATTTTCCTGCAGAGTACATTAAATTGGCAACGTTAGTGTTAAAGATTGAAGCAATTTTATTTCCAAAATTTTGGAGATCATGTTTTTATATCAAAATGTCATTAAAAAAAAAATTTAATAAATTAATTTAAACTATGATAATTTTGTTTATACATTTCGAGTACTTTATATACACAAATAGCAAATTCGAAAACAAAATAAGATCATAAACAGAAAAAACTATTCATGATGATGCTACCCTAAACACTTATAGTTAAACAAGAATTTCAAAAATAAATGACATGAAAGAGTATTAAAAAAGTCCCGAAAATAATCAGGCCCCCTCCATACTGTTTCATTTAGCCAACGAATTGATTGTTTCATTAGCAGCGCACACGTCTGCGACTGGGATATGTAAATGTTTCAACATTTATGGTCATAATGTGTCAAAGACCATAAATTCAATTAATTTATTATAATGGCAGGAGTGGGCCTGGTTTGCTTGGAGCAGCGACGCCATCGCCGGTGCAGACGGGTCCATGCTGGGGGTCAGTTGATTAATAATACAGAATTTGTAGCGCACACTACATCATCTTGACACTGCAACTCTGGAGAGACAAAAAGGAGAAGGCACAATGCAGCCTGATGATGGTGATGATGTTGCTGCTGTGTTCCAATTTGTACCGCGACGCATTAAATAAATGTATCTCAATCTCAAGCTGTGCCCTGGCGTCGACTCACCCCCTCCCTTTCCACCCGCGACCCCTCTCGTGCCCCTAATATGTAAACAATTTAAATAGATATTTAGATATGCTGCCTACGCTGGCGCCAAGCTCACACCGACAGACAGCTCGCTATTTGTTTTAAAATTTAATTTCCGTTTCAATTTCACATAAATAAATTAAAATCACAGAAATATAACTCAGATAAAGTCAAAACACGCTCCATGGGCTGCATTCCCCAAGACAGATATCGCATAGGAAACGGGTGAAATATATAGTATCTGTGCAAATGAATTGTTTGAATTGGCTCTCTATTTGAATTTAGTTATGGATCTGGTCGTGATTTAGAGTCTTGTGCCGGATGCACTAAACACATGCCAAACAACTGTTCATCATTTGGCCAAATCGATGCGGAGGATGTGCAATAAATAAAAGTGATCGCTTAATGAGCCCCAATATCCATCTCACATCGATCGGTGTAATTTCAATATCGGGTAATTTTTCGGTCGATTACGTTCAGGAATGTTGAATGATTTTAGCCATTCATCAAGTCTTTAGTCAAGTGAACTAAGTGAATATATTCACTGATGGCTTACAATATGGTTTAACTATTTTTTTGCTTTCTTATTTATTGCTAGGACTTTTTTTTTTTTGCGAAAAGACAACCGTTTCATCATATCTTTATGGGTCGTACTTCTGTGAAGTTTGCGGTTTCCTAGTTCTAGGAAATTTGAAAGAATAATTGATTGTCATTCGCTTGTGATAAGGCGCTTGGCACTTGATAGCCATTGAGAAAATTGTAGAATTTTAATAACTTGATTTGATTCCTATATGAGTAATCAAATGTTTAAAATAGACGAGTTTGATAATATTTTGATAAGGAAGAAATGCCATATCTAACTGAAATCTTAAATTCGCAGCCATTTAACCTGATTAAAATAGGAAATAATGTGAATTGATTGATAAAGTAACACTTAGGTACTACTTAACCTACTCAAAAAAGCGGAAACGGAAATTCTAAAATAAACTTCATTTTAAATTGGATACGCTGAAAATAATACCATTTATTTTCTATGCTCAAAACCTTTCCCAATCAGAAACCCTTTCACCTTTTTCCTTACCTAATATATACTTTCTATTAAATTGAATAGATATTAAAGTATGCTAAAAATACCTTTCGGATGGGTTTACTTACCGTTGTGGGAGTGGGGTGTGGCTGGGTGGAAGTTTTTGTTATCACTGTTCCCCGCCGACGCAGCATAATCCATGGACAGGCGGCTGTTGATGCTGCTGTTGTTGCTGTTGGCGGGTGGCTCGGTGGGGTAATTGGCCACCTGGTGGTCCGATCCACAGACCGAGGCAGTGGTGGCCGACTCAAAGGAATTGCCGTGCACAATATCCTCATTTGGTTTCTCGCAATCTGAGTTGGTTGGAGTTAAGGTAAACAACAAATTGAATTAGTTGCATAAAAATACTAATAGGGTTTACCCAAACTAAAAGCTTGGAAAACTCAATAAATTATAAATGTCAAAAAATGCAAGAATGTGTTTGTTTATTAGCAGGTTTCCCATACTTTTTATACCTACTATACACTAAAAACGATTCAGTGTTGTTACAAGTTAAATGAAAACTTCAAATGTAATTTATTTTTTCAAGCCAATTTCAGTTTTTGTAATGATAATAAGATATATCAAAGATTTGTTCAAAGAAGTAAAAAGGTATTCCACAGATTTTTATCAATTTTTAAAAAATTAAAACACTTTTTTTTTTTTATCTGTAGAGGCCTCTGAAGCCTCCACTTGAAATCAAATTTCAGCGTGGACAGGAAGCGTCAGCAGGACAAAAAAAGTTTATTATAAAGGGTTTGAGAGTGTTCAACAGGTCAGAGAACCGGTTCGCACTGCCACCCACTCCAATCAACCCAATATAACCACCTCCTTGACTTTGTTAGACAGGCTTCCGTTTTGGGTTTGCCTTGGTTTGCTTTGGTGTTCTTTGGGGCAGGTAAATTTTGTTACTGGCGCCAGTCGAGTCCATGTTTATGGCTTACTCTTTACCGTCGGCTTACTGGCATTCGGCTCACGTACTCACCTTTCTGCAGGATGTCCAGGTGCTCCCACAGAATGTCGCCGGTGAAGGGCGGCGTGATGGCCAGGAACTTCTCCTTGCCCAGATCGACTATGGGACGGCCCCTCATCTTGTAGAAGGGGTCCATGTTCATGGAGGGCAGCGAGAACTCATTGAGGGCCCAGTTGAGCCAGTAGATGACATGCTCCTCCGTCCATTCACGGGGATCTGCATGGGAAATAACACAAAAAATTGTTGGGGGAGTGTAAATAGAAATATAAATATAAATAGAGATGGAAATTAATCGTTTTCTAATGCCTTTAGCTCAGCGGCGACTTAATTAGGCGTGGGAGCGCACTTTGCTATTGCTGTGGGAAACTATTAATATTCATTGGGACTCAGGCCGGAACTCCAATTGATAGTTCACGGTTAGTTTAGGACTCTATTTTTTATTGGTTGCACGTTATTAACGAATTAAGATTAGGCTATTAAAATAAAAATATTCAAAAGTCAGACAAACTTGTTTAAGGACTTGTCACAGAAATCTCTCTTTTTCAACTATGTATAAACATTCTAACCAAATTTGGTATAAGAGATTTCTGGTAAAACCCACTTAATACATTTTTAAATTAGTATTTCCAATTAGCTTTAGGCAACTTGTTAAAGGCATTTGTTTGTAAATAGAATGGAAATATAAATGACAATTTCAACAGTTTATACAGATTTTCAGATTAAAAAGCTTACATATTGAACATATTGTAACCGCGAATTCTTCAGCCCAATACATTCCCTATAAAAATAACTCCAACCAATAATATATAAAACGCTACGCTTATAACTAATAATTGTACTGAATACACAACATGAATGCAATTCTATATTAGAATTGTATTATTAGTTTAATTGTTTCCTCTTACCTTTGGTTATGTTGCGGTTTTGGACCTCTTTTTCCCAGGAGGCGAAGGAGGCCTTCAGTAGCTCGTTGACCTTGCGATTGGTACCCGGCGTGAGGGGTGGCAAGGTGGTGGGTACGTCTGCAACAAACAAACCATAAAATGCATTATTAAACCATTTAAAAAGTGCTCAGATCAAACAAAAAAATTTCAGTACGGATTATCGAACCTTTAAATTTGCTGTGATTGGTGGAAAGCTGTTGCAGCTTTTGCCCCTTCAGGTGGAATTTACCCGAGAAGCACTGATAGTTGTTTGGCAAGAAGGTCTGGTGGTGATGGTTATAGTTTGAGGATCGCAACGGCGGCAGCATGCGACTGTCGTTCCAATCGATCCACTCATTGGTCATAGTCAGGCCAATTAAGATCTTGGCAACGAATTTGTTTGCGCACTGGGTGTCAGGGGTTAAAAAGGGGACGGACAGCGGTTCAATTGATCTTAAGTGATTGGTGCGGCACAATCTTGACCCGAAATGTCAGTGAAAGTCGCGACCCTTTCACAGCGCGCTCTAATATCCGTCAGATACAAATGTATCTTGGGTGTATGCAATTGTCGCGCCTTAATTGTGGTAATTGAACGTTAATTGCATATATCACAGCACCATTTAGCCATTAACAGATTGTCAGCATTAGCAAACGGGTTTTTAGAAACACACACACACTCGCTCCTTGAGATTTATTCAAATTGTTTTTCTTTTTTAAATAAAAACACACACGAAACGGAAAAATATATTTTGAAATTCGCTCGTCGTTCGTTCTGTGTATCTATCGAATAGCTGGATTTGTGAAGCCAAACTGAAACGAAACGATCGTATCCGTAGCTATAGCTGCATGTCCTAAGCAGCGAAACGGGCGGGAAAGAGAGAGAGCGATCGGGCAGAGCGTTGAATTCCCAGAGAGAGCGCAACAAGTGGGACTGGAACTCGTAAATCTTTGAGTCTCTAGCGGAACGAACTGGAATTCATTCATAAAACGTTCGCTCTCTCGTTTTGTATCTGTGTGTGTGTGTTTTTGTGTGTTTGGAACGGAAACGGCCATCATCACAGCAACAACAACAACAGCAGATAGGGAAACAACAACACGCTGCCAGGTTGTTTGTTTAGCCGAGAGAAGAAGGCAAAAGGCAACGAAAAAACAAAAAACAAAGCACACAGACACACGAAAAAATTAAAGCAAAAAATAAAGAAAGAGAACAAACACAAATAAAAGCGACCAATTCGTTTTTTCCGAAACATTAGCAACAGGTGACCAAATGCGCCGATTATATAGGGTATAACAGGTGCAAAAAATAGAAAACTGCTAAGATTCCTCACTAAAAAAGATTTGTATTAAATACTTTATCTGTCATATAAATAATTTGCAGTTAAACTTTAATAGCTTAAATTTAATCAGTTACATTACAAGGTAAAGTAATAGAGAAGTATTATAAAACGTCCTCTAGATTTGAAGTGATTAAAGGGAACTTCTAGATGAAAAGAATTTTGAACTGTTAAGATCATCGAGTTATAGAAAACTTAATGATGTACAGAACTGTGAGGTATAGAAAACTTTAAGCTATGGAATTAAATTTTAACTTTTTTCAGGTAAGCCATCTTAAAAATGATCTCAATAAATAACTTAAATATTCCAGGTTTAGTTTTTCTTTAAGTGCAAGTGCAGCTTATATCTTTTTTTGATTATAATTTTATCCTTTTTTTGTTCTGTAATTTTTTAACCAGATTGTGGAGCACATATGGCAAATCTACTCAAGTTTCTCCCCTCACATAACTCAAGGAAAAATCCCCAGGCACACAAGCAATTTATGAATGAATTTCTTGTGTTGCCTCACACGCGCATTCGCCTGAAAAGAAACTCCAGACAAAAAAGAAGAAGACACCGATATTGTAGTAAGGGAACGCTTCGCATTTCGAAGATACAATACCTCAGGCGGTAACAGCAGCAGCAACAACAATGATCGAGACGTCGACGTCGACGTCGACAGAGGTCGCTTCCGCTGCTTCCGTTCGATGTATCGAACACCCAGTGCCAGCGATAAGGTGGAAATGAGAGGGCGAAAAGGAGAAACGCACAGGTGGGAGGGAGAAGAAAGAGCCCAGGGCAAAAGAAGAGGATAAGATAAAGCTATTATTATGATGACTCTACGCGACCAGGTAAATTTATGAATGAATACGAAACATTGACTCCGCGGCTTTACGTCTATGAATGAATTGAAATTACGTGCGACGGGCGGAGACGCAGGGAGATCATTTGGTCATTATCACAAAACCGCATAATTGGCGACAAATGCAGGGGAAACCCTTTGGCTTTGGCTTTATCTTCGCCACTACGTTTACCTGCTCGGCACCGGAAAAAATAACCCAAGGCATTTAATCTACTTTGGATATTTTTAAATTGGCAGATACCTAACAATATTACTCTATTACAGATAATAAAGTTTATAAGTGAATGCAAAATATTAATACTCTCGAGTTTCTTTTGCTTTGAATGTTTTCAACATTATATAGTTTATAAAATGCACTGATTTTGAAATCTTTTTTTAGTAGTCCTATAAGTTCGAATCATACAAAACTCTTCTTTATAAAGATGAACAGACAAACTTAAAACAGACTTGAAAATATGATTTCAACCATCATTAAACCAGACTTCTAGCATTATCAAAAAAGTGCAATTACCAATTCCCATTCCACATTTGTTTTTTCAGTGTATCTACTGGTCCCAAGGTGGGCTGCGTGTTAAAGAAATTACTTCTCATAGCCATGACTATGGGCCCTGTTCATATTTGGCATTGCATACATATGTATTATAACAATTATTATGACTTGTAGTCGTAGAAGAAGTCGACGCGAGGCACTTCAAAGCCCAGCACTTACAACTCGAAATTACAAAACGTCTGTGCGTGTTCGAAATTCATTATGCGAACAGGCCCAAGTCGGGGGGATCCGTCTAACTCGGAGCACCTTTGTGGACCTGGGCCACACACATGGCCAGGAATCTTTCATTGGAGCCACTCCACCCGATGCGCTGCGGTTGGTAATCTTACGAGGTGTTCATTGTTCGCTCCTAGTTGCCTCGCTTTTTGCAGCTCGACTTGGAAATGGGTCAATCACGCCGACCACCGGCCACCACCTGTCTGTCTACTGTCTTCTTACAGCACGAGATGGTTCCATTCCCATCCACAACCTCATCCACATTCACGTCACGCTGGCTTATTTCTTAGTGGGTCTTCTGGGAGGATTACCGGATTACTCTAGTTATGATTAATTTCATAAAATTGTTTTTCGTGTTTCTAATTTTGATAATTGGCATCTCCTTAATTGTATCTATAATTTGTTTGCATTTTTATTTCATTGTTCATAGGCTTGACTTTTTCACTTTTTAGAGTTCTTTCTCCATGATTTTAGTGAACTGAATATGTATGTAAATAAATTGAAATTTATTGGCTTGCTAATCTTGAGGTTATAATGTAGTCATTGTATTTCAATAGAATGAAGTTTTTAATATGCTTCCATCACAATTGCACTAACTGACGATTCCTCGTCAACTCAGACTCTTCAGCTATCGATGGGTATATGTGAATAGGAAACATTGAGCCAATGACAAGAATATGGTTCCATAATCTAAAAGAAACATACGATTTTTCCTACAGGAATTAAGAAAGGTCATTTAAATTGTAATTACTTAGAATTTGTGCTGGTCAGAGTTATGCCGGTCAGATAGCTTTATAGCTCTAATATTGTTCAAATCTGGACCAGTTACTGAGGTCCGAATACGATAAAATAGTCACGTAGACCCCCGGAAAGAAAGCCAGAGCTTTAGAAGTAACGATCCCTGTGGAGCTCGAGTCCCAAGCTTGCAATCTATATACATATGCTTGCTTGATTTTTTTAATCGCTTACTACATAATTGCGCTGGTGACCAAATTCGAGAGTGAGTAACCGACTCAATTTGCATACGGTTTTGAGACGCGTTGGCAACATCTTATCGCAATGCTTAGAATCAAGGACTTGGAAACAATACTCGCCAAAAATTACAGTGCAAGTTATTATGTCAGATAAGGAGGACCCCTTGATCCCGATAAGGTGAGCATGAAAGGTTGGAAAAAAATGCATTCATAAACAGTCTGGAGTATATAGTATTTGATTGTCGCATCTATAGACGGAAAATTGAACTATAATCTTGAAACAGTACTTTCAAAATTAATTTGTGCAGATTATTTTTGAATCAATTAATTCCTATTACGAGGAGACGTGCCTCCTGATAAGCTGAGCCAAAATATATAGATGCAGGTTTTTATGTCTTATCAGGAGGACCACTGCCTTCCAAAAAGGTGAGCATCTGAGGTTAGAAAATAATTTCATTCATAAACAGTCTGAAGTATATAGTATATTTGATAAGCGCATCTCTACGAGGAACAGTGTACTATAAACTAGGCAACAGCACGCGCAGAGTATTTTTGAGTCAATTAATTCCTATCAGGAGAAGAGGTGCAGGTTATTATGTCTTATCAAGAGGACCCCTGCCTCCCAAAAAGGTGAGCATCGAAGGTCAGAAAATAATTTCATTCATAAACAGTCTGGAGTAAAAAATATATTATTTGGTCGTGTGATCGTCATATCTCTACACGAGAAAGTGAACTTTGAAACAGTAAATGCAAAAATTTATTTGAGCAGGTTGTTTTTAGGCCAATAAATTCTTATCTTGCTTTCCGATTAATCGAACGTTACAAAATCTGGAGTAAATAATTTTTGGTCGTTTGATCGTCGCATTTCTGCGCCTATCCGTGAACTATGAATTGACATTTCCGTTTCCTGTTGTGCTCAGGTTGCTATCAAGCGATAACCAGAGAAATTGCAATTTGAATGGAGTGTCTGATTGTCGATTCGAATCAAAGGCAATTGAAGCGCACTTTAGCACTCCAGCCTTCCCTCAATTCACCTGAAAGCGCAACAAGCTGCACGCAATTTTCCTGTGAGGGAAATTGCACCGAGGAAAATTATTAATTGTGAGCTTGAGAAATTTGCAAAGATGCTGCCCTTGAAATAATAAGCACATCGGTTCAATTATAATTAATACAGAACTATTAA